TAGCTCATTTGAGTTTCTATCTGTAAAGGCTAAATTTGCAATCTTAAGAAAAAGCTGTACTGCAACAAAGAAAGCACAGGTTTGGAGTGTGGTTCTGCTACTCACTGACTGGGTAACCTTCACCTCTCGGAATCTGACATTACGGAAAAGCAAAATGGGCACATTAATAACTACCTTAGAGGGTGGCTGGGATCCTTAAGATGCTATCGGACAATTCCAATGTTATTAGATGATAAAAGAGCAAAAGTTACTTTAGGACTTAAAGCAGACAGTATTCAAAATTAGGGATTAACAACTTCATTTTAAAAATCCACTGATTTTCCACTTAACTGCATGTGGCAGGTCTGTTACTTCCCCTTAAAAGAAGTTTCAGACCTCGTCTCTGCCTTCTTGGAATGCTCTCCCCAAAAGGAGGGCGTGGGCACATCAGTCTCCTCTTCCGAAGGGCAGCAAGAAGGGCCAGCTGTTCCTGGGTGCCTGCCGTGCGGGCCTGTGACTCACAGCTCATCGTCAGTCTGCATAGTGGAGCTAGTTTTTACCTGGTGCCTGACTGGCCATCTGCCGTCTCAGTGCCGCAGCGGCGGCCGCCTGGGGGGCGGAGATGGTGTGGGAAGGACCAGGTGCGCCATGTTTCACGGTTTTGGTGGCAAGCATTGTGCTATCGGCTCCCTGAGGAATAATTTTGCCAGTAGACATAGACACTGAGGGAGTGAGAGAGTGGGCCAGAGAAAAGGAATACACAAAAGTGAAAATGGGTCAGTTCTCCAATGTTATGTTGCAGGAAAAATGCTAAGATTAAAAATTCCAAAGCATTAACATAGGAAAATACCAGTAAACTGATAGGCGGGCACCTGTATCTTTCAAAGATGCCACATGCAGTTTGCCTCTGTTAGCTAAATTATACTTTATGTTAACTTTTCTTCTGATACTGATCAAGATGTAACTTGCATGTCAAAACAGCCCGACTCCCTGCCCTCCTCTCATAACCCTCTCCGATCCAGTTCCTCCCATCCTCAGTGTTTGCTCTTTGTTAGAAGTCACTTCATGGCGAAGTCCAGGCACTCTGAACGGAGGGTGTGAGAGCACACGGTTACCTGGTGAGCAATACTGACGAGTACGGCAGCGAGCTGAGGCAGAATATGGCTACAGGAATAAGCTAGGATTGGAAGGCATGTGTGTGGATGCTGCTTTAGACCAAGGCCAACAGCCTCCTCTTTCACTCCTGAACAGAGCCAGCTGGCCTCAACAGTAAAGCTATGACAGTGTGAACCCTGCAGAGTCTCTTCTTCCTCACAGTGTCCTACCAATCTCTTTCGAGGGGAACACACCTCTTTAGAATTAAGTATTCTTATTTCCAGAAAATCAGCAAAAATGGGCTAGAATCAATAACTTAGTGGTGTGATAGTAAAACACCCAGTTAGTCCCCTCACCAGTTAGAAACCTAACAGAGAAAAAAGATACTTCCATCTCATTGTTGACTTACTTGAAGTTCCCAGCACACCAGGGGCGCTATGAGTCAGGTGAGATTTAGCAAAAGGAGTCGCCTGGGGTAAGAGCCCGGGCTGGACGGAAGGAGTGCGAACCACAGGGGCATGCCGTGGGACCTGGGCCACTGCATCGTCATCTTTGCAAGCAGCCCGTGCATCTTCGCTCTCCAAAGACTGGGAAATGGACGACGTTGAGCTGACTTCATCCAAGTCTTCATAGGACCTCTGAGACAGGAAGGCTGACCGAGACAGGCTGGCTACAAAGCCCAAAACAAAACATGTTGGATGACTCAAAGCAAGTCCAAAAGCTCTGTAATATTCACTGTTGACAGAGAAATATTTCATTTTAAAACGATTCAATTGTTACTTATTTTAAGCGGGAGCAACTGCTGTTGAACGTGAACAAAGATGGTTTTGGGTCTCGGCTCAACAGGAGTTCTGAAAAATGGTCGTGTAGGAGAATAACATTTGACTGTCAAACAAAAAATCTGAGGTGAGAGACAGAATAGCTGCTGGTGTAAAAGTGGGGACCCTGAGCCCCCACCAGTTCTCACAGGCAGGGAGCCAACCAATCAGAAAAAGAACAGACAAGCTCCCACAGCAAGCGAACACTCACTCACGCCACTGCCAGAACTTCCCAACAACAAACCTCTAAGGAGAGCTGAAGGCAAAGTGGAAAAGACTAACACCCTCAGTGCTAGACACCTCAAACATTTCCAGATAAATCTAGTGATTCTTTTCAATCAATTTGGCTTAAAAAAAAAAAAATTACTGAAACTGATCCTGACTTCCCCTGTTTGTTTTTCTTCTTCTATAAACTACGAAGTAAGGCTTTATGCCATGTTACCTTCTACCATGAATCTCAGAGTACAGGCTACTGCTCGTCTGTTGGAAAAAACAAAAATCAAAACACCTAGCCCTTTCTCCTTAAGTTATTTAAAAGCATTGCTGATATTTACTGATTTGTTTGCCTTATAGGCACACTACTCTGCAAAATTTTATTTGTCTCAATAAGCAAATGCAACTGAACACCAATGCTACCTGCTAAGGCTGCGTGGTTCGATTTGGCAGCCATTAGCCAAGTGTGCCTACTTAAGCTACTTAAGTTAAAAACAGCTAGAAGTAAATAAATGAAAAAGTCCTCATTTGCACCAGCCACATTCAATTGCTGAATACCCATATGTAACTACTCTACTGGACAGCACAAATACAGAACACTGCTATTGTCACAGGAAGCTCTGCCAGCCAGCACCGTGCCAGAGTATTTCGACGCAAGTAAATCTGCAGCAGGGTCACCTAGAAATTCTATCATAACCACCAGCACCATAATAAAGCTGCAGTGAACATATATAGAAAACTTACTTGGTGTTAGGTGCTACATAAAGCATCTATATTAATTATCCCATTTCATCCTCACAGTTATCCTGCAACTTAGAAATTGCTGTTATCCGACTTGATGGTTAGTGCTCAGAAAGGTTAAGTCATTTGCATAAGGTCATGAAGCTGTACGGAGTAGAGTCCGAATTCAAACGTGGGCGTATCTGACTTGTAAGATCACATTCTAACAATACTGTTACATAACACTAAAACCAGGGCTAGGCAGAATTTCCATGACCTTTGTCCCCTGGTGCCAGACCCATGGTTAGTTATGTTGGATGACACAAGAGATTTTGTAGACATAATTAAGGTAACTAATCAGCTGACCTTAAAATAGAGAGGTTTTCCTGGATTACCCAGGTGGCCCAAGGTAATATCTCATGAGCCCTTCAAGGCAGAGAAAAGAAGCAAAAGTCAAGTCAGAGATGCGCCAGAATGGGAGGAAGGATCCTTCCTGACACACAGGAAGGACTCAACGTGCTGCTGTCAGTCTGCAGACGAAGAGAGCCAGCAGCTTACATCAAGAAAGAACCTCAGTCCTACAGCTGCGAGGACCTGAGTACTGTCAACAAGGGATGAGCTTAGAAGTGGATTCTTTCCCACAGCCTTCAGATAAGAGGTCAGCCCAGCCAACACCTTGACTTCAGCCTGTGAACCCTGAGCAGAGGACCCAGCTGAGGCCTGCTATGCGTGGACTGCTGACCCAGACAACCGTGAGAGCATGAACAGGTGGTGTTCTAAGCCACAACGTTTGTGATGATTTGTTACACCACAAATAGAAAACAAATACAAACCCCACATTCCCTTAGGGCCACAGTCTCTCAAAAGTTTCTCTAAAATGTTAGTTTCTGAGAGTTAATAGCAGCAAAAAAAATGACTCAAGCTCATCACCTTCAAGAATTGGACAGAGGGAGAGAAACTAATATAACAATGTAACTCCCAAGGTCAGATACAACTTGGAGCTTCTCTCAGTTTCCTTCCTTCATCTTTCTGGTATCAGTCATTGACCATGGATGGAGGGAGGCCCATGGAATGAGAGATGCAAAGGCTGCTCACTCTCCCAATGGTATTGTCTCCACAACTGATATATGTGGCTCTCTATGACCAGGGATGCAGCTACCTTCCTGGCGTTAGAAAAGGGTACCCACTGAAACCTCAAGAATCTGATTTCACTTAAACTCTAACTCAGGTTAGGAAAGGCAAAAAGCCACATTAACAGGAAAAAGAAAAACAAAACAAAAGCCAAGAAATCGTGATCATCTCAGTAGATGCAGGAAACTTCACAACTTACAATGAACTATACACAGTGTTCCCTTTGAGATCAAGGCCAGGCTGCCCACCACCCCTTTCACTGGACTCAGTACTAGTGAAGTACTCTGCATTTCCTAGCTAGTGAAGTAAGGTAAGAAAAATAAAAGGGCTGAGAAGGCAGAAACAAAACTGTTCCTATCTGTAGAGGATATAATTGTTCCCACAGAAAGTCCAAGAAAGCTCCAGACATATTATTTGAACAAATGAGTTTAGTCAGGTTGCTAGATACAAAGTCAACATACAAAAAAATCTAATTTATTTCTACATACCACATCTAACACAAAACATAAAATGAAATTTGAGGGGAAAAACCCCAACCATTACAAGAACATAAAAAAAAAAAAAACTCTTAAAATAAATCTGACAAAATATGTATGTCCTCCATGCAGAAAACACTGAGAGAAATTGAAGACCCACATAAAGAGATGCCATGTTTAGGAACTGGAAGGGCAACACTGTACGAACTGGCAGGTCCATTCTCTCAAGTTATCTAGAGAGTCAATATAATCCCAATAAAAATCTCAACTTTTCTTTAAGGGCTTAGGGAGACAGAATTTAACAAAATGGAAATGGAACGCACCAAGAAGAGCCAAAACCTTCTAGATTATGGGTCAGCAAACTACAACGATGGATGGGCTGCCTATTTTTATAAAAAGTTTTACTGGAACCCAGACACAGCCATTCATTTACATACTGTGTGTAACTACTTTCCCATTACAAGGGCAGAGCTGAAGCAGGTACAATAATAGAAACCACAGGGCCAGCAAGCCTGAAATATTTACTATCCGGCACTTTAAGAAGTTTTCCATCCCCTGCTCTAGATTGCAGAATTTTCTGTGATAATGAAATGTTCTATATCCATGCTTTCCATTAAAGTAGCCATTAGTCACCTGTGCCTACAGAGCAATTTTTAACTTTATTTAATTTTTATTGATTTAAATAGGCTACCATATAGGACATCACAGCTTTAGAATCTAGAATAAGAACAGCATTGAGACTTTTCTTTAGCCCTAATTAAGGCAGTGTGGCAGTAGGGTTTGTAATCAGTGTATGAGACCAACTGACCTACACATACAAGGATAATTGATTTACAACAAAAGTGGCTGCTAAGCAGAGAGAAAAGTGGTTCTTCCGATAAACAGGCAGTCCTGGGACAATCAGCTCTCTAAATACAAGAAAGTGACATGTGAGCCATACTTTTTATCATACACAAAAATCATTCCAGACACTATAAATAAAGGGCGGCCTATCTGTACAATGGGATACTAGCCACACCATGCAGTAATGAAAAGGAGTGAACCACCGATACGTGCATTCATCAAGGGCGAACCTCAAAAACATTGCACCAAATAAAAGAGATCAAACCAAAAGATCACATATGATTCTCTTTATATGCAATTTCTATAAATGGCAGATCCATACAAAAACAAAACACATCAGTGGCTGCTGGGGGCAGAACAGGGACTCACTACGAACAAGCACGAGGTGACTCTGCGTGATGGAAAAGCCTGGAACTGGAAGGTGGTGATGGTCATGCAATTCTGTAAATGTGATAAATATCCTCAAAAGTCTATACTTGTAACAGATGAACTTTATGGTATGTAAATTATACCTCAATGAAGTTGTCTTAAAAAAGGCAATTCTAGAGATAGTACACTTTAATTTGAAAGGTGAAACGCTAACATTACTAGATAATAATCAAGGTGCATTGTGGAGGATGACAGTGAAGCGAAACTGCAGGAACAAAATGGCAGCGGACGCAGGGACTCCAGGAAGGAACTGACGGTTACCAAAGGGGCGGGTGGGAGGGCGGGAGAGGGGGCCTGAGGGGTGCTATGTTCAGTACACATGGTGTGGAGGTCACGGGGAGAGGAGTGCAGCACAGAGAAGGCACACAGGGGGTCTCTGGACAGTAGCTGCACTGGGGTGTGGGGGGGTGCTTGATAATATGGGTAAATGTGGTAACCACATTGTTTTTTCATGTGAAACCTTCATAAGAGTGTATATCAATCATACCTTAATAAATAAACAAACAGTCAAGGTGCATACATACTCCTGTTTCCTAGAGCTAGAGGATTTCTTAAACAGAACAAATCAAGTACGAACTGTAAAAGAAAAGACTGATAAGTCTCTCTTAAAATTAAGAACTATTTGCCAAAAGACATCATTAAGAGAATAAACAGGCAACAAAGTATCTACAACCCATATAACCAACAAAGGGCTGGTATCCAGAATTTATTTAAAAACTTTCATAAATAAAAAAGACAGGTTATCCAACAAATAATGAGCAAAAGACTTAATCGGGCACTTCACCAAAGAAGATACGCAAATGGTTAATAAACATATAAAAGGGTCACACCAGAAAAGTTAAAAGAAAAAAGACTGACACTATTAAGCTTGGCAAGGATGTAGAACAACTGAATAGTCACACCTTGATGACGAAAGCATAAACTGGTGCAACTATGGAAATCCGTATGGCAGAACCTACTGAAGCCAAGGTATGGACAAAGTACGAACCACGTCCATTCCTAGTCATGTGACCAAATAAAAAAGGTCTACATGTGCTCCAAGAGACAAGCACAAGAATGTTGAGAACATTCTGTTCTATTACAGAAGCCGGATACAGCATATGCCCACTAAAGGAGAATGATAAACAAATGCAGTATGCTTACGTAACAGAATACTATACAGCAACAAAGCAAATGAGTAACAGCTAAGCTTAGCGACACAGATGGCTCTTACAAACCTGAGGTGGAATGAAAGAACCCATCCAGAGGGTAAGTAAGGAACTTACACAGAAAGCAAAGCCCAAAAAACAGGCAGAACCAAATTACAGTGCTGGGGAGGCATGCTTAAGCTGTAAAACTACTTCCAGAAAAGCAAAGATAAAGGACATTAAAGAGAAAGGCAACTTAACGCAATGTACCATTCTGGACTGGATCCTAGATTTTTTGAAGAGCGGTATGCAGGACATAAGGGGGACTGTTGGAAAACTGTTGAGTCTCAGACTGCCTATTAGATAACAGCAAAGTTATCAATGTAAAATTTCCTATATATGATTACTGTATGTGTAAACATCCTTATTCTTAAGGACACATGCCAAATTATTTAAGAGTAATGGGTCCTGTCTGCAACTTGTTTTCAAGAAGTTCATAAAAAATACTACTCAAGTGTGTGCATGTGTGGGAGAGAGGAGAAAAATAAAGCAATTGTGGCAAACGTTACTGGGATGGTAAAGGGTAAGTGGGTGCTCACTGTATTATTCCTGCAGTGGGGTTTGAAATTATTCAAAATAATAAATAAAAATTTTAAATGTCAAAAGGAAAAAACAAACAAACAAAAAATATATATATATCAACATGAGGGTCAGAGGCACCAACCCCCCTGCACAGTTGAAAATCCATGTATAACTTACAACTCCCCCAGAACTTAACTACTAGTAGCCTTCTGTTGACCGGAAGCGTCACAGCACACCCCATCCTACCCGACACCATGTACTGCATGATTTACACTGAGAAAATTTCAGGACCAGTTTTACCTGGAGCAGTGGATCTCACCGGTGGGGTCTTCCTCTTGGCCAAGAAGTTTCTCAGTTGTGCCTGTTTCACGGGGGACAGTTTAGCTGCAAGAAATTCATGAATCCATAAAGGCTTAACACACTCAGGTTTTAAGATGCCAATAGATGGAAGAGAACAAAGAGAGATCAAAGACTGGAAAAAATGCACTTACCTGGTACTCTAGTGGGCAAGAGTTTGCTGTGAGAGTCTATGGTGGTTTTCAACAAAGCTTTGCGCAGGCTTTCAAGGTCACTGTCAAAGCTGAAATAGGGTAGTGTTACATACGAACCAACTCCAAGACATCAGGGCAGGGGGAGGGGCAGAGGGTGTACTCTAGCCGCCTAAATATAAATCCAAGAGATGAGAGCCTCTCCAATACAGAAACGGGTAATCTGACCAATCCATGTCATCAATCCAAAAGGACAGAGATCACAGCCTCATTTTATACACCAGCCCAGCAGCAGACACACCACCAAGAGTGCTTCAGTAGGAAGGACAACTGAACCTATACATTCAACCTAAAGACAAACTCAAAACCACCCTGATAACTTCAGGGGTAAACTGTCTTAACTGCCAGGGTCTGGAAGTTTCCACACTCAAGCAAAGTGACAAATCTGAGCTTTAAGACAAGTTAGTGAACCCAATCCTACCAGTGAATTTTCACAGAACAATACTATTGCTACAGCACCTGCTGTCATCTCCAGAGCCCCCGCTCCTGAAACACGACACTACCAGGGGCTCTTGCAGGCTGAAGTAACTCTACCATGAGGGGTGGTGTATTTAGGCATGTCTTTAGGCAAAGGAACAAGGATCAGAATGGGTGAGGAACCTGACCAAGATCACACAGGTTACAGCAGCGTCACTGTCAAACCCACAGCTGAACCACGCTGAGGCTACTCCACCCTACCCCATTCATTCATTCATTCAGCCACACTCACTGGGCGCAAGTGGCACTAGGCGGCCGCGCCTCCCACACACCTGTGAGTGCTGCTCTGGGAGGGAGCAGCTGAGGGGAGGCTCCACTGGGAGGTCTGGTTATAAAGGCGGAGCTGCTGCAGACTGTTCACCAGGTGGGTCAGCCTCTTCTGTTGTTGGTGGATGATTTCCCGGTTGTTGGCTAGGGTATTAAACAGTGTCTCTCGCTCTGGCACAAGCAGACGCCTGTTGAAAGCAAACAGAAAAGTGAGTGCGAATGGGTCAGGTAAAGGAACCTTCCACTGAAGGAAAAATTTTTAACAGTGAAAAGAATAAAATGGAGAACCGTTACTGGACAAGAAACATCAAGAAAGTACTAGAACATACAAAGGGGATGAAAGGGGGGCGGAGCCAAGATGGCGGCATGAGTAGAGCAGTGGAAATCTCCTCCCAAAACCATATATATCTATGAAAATATAACAAAGACAACTCTTCCTAGAATAAAGACCAGAGGACACAGGACAACATCCAGACCACATCCACACCTGCGAGAACCCAGCGCCTCGCAAAGGGGGTAAGATACAAGCCCTGGCCTGGCGGGACCCGAGCGCCTCTCCCCCCAGATGCAGCGGGAGGAGAGGAGTTGGGGCGGGGAGGGAGAGGGAGCCCAGGACTGCTGAGCACCCAGCCCCAGCCATCCGCACCAGAGCGCAGACAGAGTGCATGCGCGGGGGCCCTGGGTACTAGGGAAAAAGGGCAGCAAGAACGGTGAGCGGGTACTGGAGGCCGGCGCCGGAGGACAAAAGAAAAGCAAGTGGCCATTTTTTTTTGTTATTGTTGTTGTTTTGTTGTGGTGAGTGCTTTTTGGAAGTCTTAAAGGGACAGGGACCCCAATACTAGGGAAACAGGGCAGCAAGACCGGCGAGCGGTTATCGGAGGAGGCTGGCGCCGGAGAACAAAAGAAAAGCGAG